CGTCCACCGGGGTGAACGCCAGTACTCGGCGACGGAGTCTCTCTCCTACCACGAATCCAACACCGAATTTGCGCTCCTTTACGTGGCAACTGTAGTAGACGTCGCAAGGCTTCACGCTTACTTTACCTTGCCCCGTCCATCGCATTTCTTGGATGGCGGTGATGTCAGCCTTTGTCTTCCCGAGGACATCAACCAGCCGGGCAAAGGCACCTTCCCCATTAAGGGTCCAGATATTCCAGGTGCATACCCTTAAATCATAGTCCTTTATACGTTTGCCGATTAGTTCACCAAATATTAATTTTATTGCATATACAAACAACATAAAAATGGCAATACGTGAGCAAAAGAAATCTTTTATTAGCTTGTATTTATCTATAATTCGAGAAAACTATAGTGCTGACCCCCTATCGCTCGACTCTCTCATTGACATAATCAATTTAATAGATGAGTTATCGGATGAAGGTTTAACTACAACATTTATAGCACTTTTAAAGTCAAAACTCGAAGGCAAAGCGCCTGAGGTTTTACCCAGTCCAATAATTTCAGTGGATCAAATAAAAGATGCGCAGAATCAAACCAGATAACTCCAAAGTTGTCTCTGGCAAAATCGCGTCATTACACATTACTAATAACAACTATTCCGACTTTGCAAACCGAGTAGAGGAATTATCTGACGCATTAGAGCGATCTTTAATTATTATTCATCAATTAACAGTAGCAATACCATAAACATCACTGGTGTAACAACTGAATCGGTTATAACATTGGGAAACGTAAGAACAAACTTGGTTGTATCAATTTTTTTTTTCTTCTGACGGCATACTAGGCCAGGACTTTTTAAAGACGAACAGATGTATTATTAACTACGCAAATGACAGTATAACTATCGGCATTGGGACAGAAAGCACTAAAATATCAATTTTGCACGGTTCAAATACGGACACTTTAGTAATTCCTCCAAGATGTGAAGTTTTTCATTTATTTAAATTGACTAATTCCAACAACCCTGTTTTTGTAGACTCTCACGAGCTTTGTTCTGGTGTTTTTACATCAAAGTGTCGTTGACACCAAAAATCCAATTTTAAAAGTAATAAATACTACGGATGAAGTAAAATACGTTCGAATATATATTATCATAGCTGAGGATATCAGTAACTATAATGTCTACAAAACAATCGAAACTTCCAAAGACGCAAAACGCTTAGAGGAACTAAAGTCAATTTTACAAAAACAAATGCCAAAATATGCTAAAAACAAATTGCTCGAATTATGCTTACAATACGCCGATGTATACGCCTTAAAAACACGCAGTAACTTTTATGAATAGAATCTTCGACTGAATGACAAGACTCCCGTTTATATAAAAAAACTATCGTTTGCCGTAGATACCCTCTTGCGAAACGACTTAATCGAACCAAGCTCTTCTAATTATAATAGTCCATTAAATTTAGTACCAAAAAATACCCATCAGGCCAAAAATCGTACCGCATGTGTGTTGACTTTAAGGCAGTTAACAAAAAGCTTATCGCTGACAAATTTCCATTAGCGCGTGTAGACGATATCTTAGATAACCTTGGACGAGCAAAATACTTCTCGACTTTAGATCTGTTTTCTGGTTTTCACCAAATTCCATTGCATAAAAACTCACGAGGCATAACATCTTTCAGCACTGACAAGGGAGCTTTCGCTGGAAAGTTTTACCATTTGGTTTAAACGTAGCACCAAATACTTTATCTCGAATGATGTCGTTAGCCTTTTCAGGCACCTCGCCAAATCAAGCTTTTTTATACGTTGATGACATCATAGTAAAGTGTTCGAAACAAGTAGAAAGTTTAATCTCAAGCTAAACCCAACAAAATGCCATTTTCTTCGTTCTGAGGTAACATTTTTAGGGCACAAATGCTCAGAAAAGGGACTGCTGCCAGACGATTCGAAAATAAGCGCAATCAAAAAGTATACAAAACCTTCTGATAAAGACGCTGTTCGTCGTTTCGTTGCGTTTACAAATTACTATAGAAGGTTCATACCCAACTTTGCGTCGCTGGCAGCACCTTTAAATAGACTGAGTAGAAAAAATGTCGAATTCTTATGGGACAACGCTTGTGAAACTGCATTTCAACACTTAAAATCAGCTTTAATGTCTCATAAACTATTGCAATATCCTGATTTTACTAAAGAATTTTTAATAACTGTAAATGCTTCTAAAAACGGGTGCGGTGCTATATTAAGCCAAAATCATAATGGCAACGACTTACCAGTATGTTTCGCTTCTAAATCTTTTAACAAAGCAGAACAAAATAAACCAATCATAGAACTTGAACTTTCAGCTATATATTTCGCGGTTTAGCAGTTTCGACCCTATGTTTACGGCACTCACTTTAAGGTGAAGTCTGACCATCGACCCTTAGGGCCGTTTGCACCATCTGCAGTTAGGCACTTAACCTAGAGTTAGCTAAATTTTCGTTTTCTCCATGTGTAGTTAGCGTCCATCTGTCAGATAAGTTTGAGTTAAGTTTACTGGAGCTTCGGCTGCCAGTTAACTGCTAACTAGAACCAAAACTGACAGTTGACAGCGATAAATAAATAAATTTTTGTTCTGATATTCATACACAATTTTGTGATTTTATAAGTTTTTAATGGAAAATTTAGCGCAGAATTATTTATTATCCCAATTAAGTCGGAGTCGTGTTCCGAAGCGAAGAACGCATGGGAAAAGAATTGATTTCTTTAGAAAATATGATGAAAACATATTCAACAGAAGATTTCGTCTATCCAAGGAAAGTTTTTTATACGTTTTGATAAAAATAGAGCAAAAAATCAGAAGTAGTTCGGAAAGGTTTGTAAAAATGTGGTGGGAGCTTTAAATTCTATTATTGATTCAATTGATTCCACAGGAACTGCCCGCTTAGTCCTACCGAAATGTTATTATTGGCATTACGCTTCTATGCATCTGGGAGCTTTTTAATTTCTATTGCTGATTTTTGCGGAGTCAGCGTAGCCACTGCAAGTCGTGTAGTTAATAAAGTGTCCAATGCCATCGCAAGTATTTCCAAGGACTTTATTAAGATGCCAAATACAAGCACGGAAATCGAAAATGCAAATACCAGCTTTCACCAAATAGCAAAATTCCCAAAGGTTATTGGATGTATCGACTGCACACATGTGCGGATCCAGTCACCTGGTGGAGAAAACGCTGAAATATTTAGAAA